TGTCTCCATGGTAGATAAGATTTTGTTCGGATTTTTAACCCCGGGAGGGGTTTGCCACCCCGGATAACCCAAGAAAGTCAGTGCGTCATCGAGGACTGTCTGTCTTATTTCATTGTGGTCCTCAATCTTGTCCCCAGGATGCGACCCCCAAACCCGTCGACTAACACCCAGGTACCTACTTGCCGCTAGGTGAACAGGACAACAGATGTAAGGAAACATGTCGATATGCTTCTACCCCACCGAGAATCGAGCCCGGGCGCTCAGTGCGTGAAGCGAGAGATTTCCCAGCCAGGCCACGGGGGTCACCCTATGATCTCCGGACAATTCTTCCCAACTCCCATCTCCTTACTTTGTGACAGTCAGGGGTTGATCTCCAACAGCCACGTTCCAGATCGTTAAAACAGTTTGATCCAGACTTCCTGCAGTGACCTATAATTTTTTTCCAAGATCATTCTGCACTTTCTTAAAATCCGTACGTGTTCACAACCTCATCAATACCTCGGTGTTGTCTGTAAACTTGTATTCAAATTCAAACTTCAGACATTTATTTATTTGTATAGTATACAATGTGTGGTTTACATGTGGTAAAATATTGTTGAGTCCAAACAAGCCACTACCATGTATGAGCATGTATGATCATGTATGAGCATGTATGAGCATGTATGAGCATGTATGAGCATGCATGAGCATGTATGAGCATGTATGAGCATGTATGAGCATGTCGGGCAAGTATCTAACAGCTCGCAGGTTGTTTATTGTAGTGATCGCTACAGTGTAGCTATTTCAACTACGTTAGTGTGCGTTATCGTAGTCTACGTGTGCGTGAGACGTGTTTGTGTGTGTGTGTGTGTGCGTACTCACCTAATTGTGGTTGCAGGGGTCGAGACTCAGCTCCTGGTCCCGCTTCTTCACTGATCGCTACTAGGTCCTCTCCCTCTCTGCTTCCTGAGCTTTGTCATACCTCTTCTTAAAACTATGTATGGTTCCTGCCTCCACTACTTCACTTGCTAGGCTATTCCACTTCCTGACGACTATATGACTGAAGAGTACACGTGTGCGTGTGTGTGTACTCACCTAGTTGTACTCACCTAGTTGAGGTTGCGGGGGTCGAGTCCGAGCTCCTGGCCCCGCCTCTTCACTGATCGCTACTAGGTCACTCTCCATGAGCCGTGAGCTTTATCATACCTCTGCTTAAAGCTATGTATGGATCCTGCCTCCACTACATCGCTTCCCAAACTATTCCACTTACTGACTACTCTGTGGCTGAAGAAATACTTCCTAACATCCCTGTGATTCATCTGTGTCTTCAGCTTCCAACTGTGTCCCCTTGTTACTGTGTCCAATCTCTGGAACATCCTGTCTTTGTCCACCTTGTCAATTCCTCTCAGTATTTTGTATGTCGTTATCATGTCCCCCCCTATCTCTCCTGTGTGTATGTGTGTGTGTGTGTGTGTGTGTGTGTGTGTGTGTGTGTGTGTGTGTGTGTGTGAGTGTGTGTGTGTGTGTGTGTGTGTGTGTGTGTGTGTGTGTGTGTGTGTGTGTGAAAACGACCCAGACCATCCTCGATGTAATCTGGAATTTCCCAATCGATCCAGACTGACTCACTTCTTGGCGGATGTGAACGATGTCTCATGGTAAGTCAGTCAGGTAGCTTCCTCACAGAGTACATGTACAACACCACAACGTAAGTAACTTCCTCACAGAGTACATGTACAACATCACAACTTAAGTAACTTCCTCACAGAGTACGTGTACAACACCACAACGTAAGTAACTTCCTCACAGAGTACATGTACAACACCACAACGTAAGTAACTTCCTCACAGAGTACATGTACAACACCACAACGTAAGTAACTTCCTCACAGAGTACATGTACAACACCACAACGTAAATAACTTCCTCACAGAGTACATGTACTATACCACAACTTAAGTAACTTCTTCACAGAGTACATGTACAACACCACAACTTAAGTAACTTCCTCACAGAGTACATGTACTACACTACAACTTAAGTAACTTCCTCACAGAGTACATGTACTACACCACAACTTAAATAACTTCCTCACAGAGTACATGTACTACACTACAACGTAAGTAACTTCCTCACAGAGTACATGTACTACACTACAACTTAAGTAACTTCCTCGAAGAGTACATGTACAACACCACAACGTAAGTAACTTCCTCACAGAGTACATGTACTACACTACAACTTAATTAACTTCCTCACAGAGTACATGTACTACACTACAACTTAAATAACTTCCTCACAGAGTACATGTACTACACTACAACGTAAGCAACTTCCTCGCAGAGTACATGTACAACACCACAACTTAAATAACTTCCTCACAGAGTACATGTACTATACCACAACTTAAGTAACTTCTTCACAGAGTACATGTACAACACCACAACTTAAGTAACTTCCTCACAGAGTACATGTACTACACTACAACTTAAGTAACTTCCTCACAGAGTACATGTACTACACTACAACTTAAGTAACTTCCTCACAGAGTACATGTACTACACTACAACTTAAATAACTTCCTCACAGAGTACATGTACTACACTACAACGTAAGTAACTTCCTCACAGAGTACATGTACTACACTACAACTTAAGTAACTTCCTCACAGAGTACATGTACAACACCACAACGTAAGTAACTTCTTCACAGAGTACATGTACTACACTACAACGTAAGTAACTTCCTCACAGAGTACATGTACAACACCACAACGTAAGTAACTTCCTCACAGAGTACATGTACAACACCACAACGTAAGTAACTTCCTCACAGAGTACATGTACAACACCACAACGTAAGTAACTTCCTCACAGAGTACATGTACAACACCACAACGTAAGTAACTTCCTCACAGAGTACACATACAACACCACAACGTAAGTAACTTCCTCACAGAGTACATGTACAACACCACAACGTAAGTAACTTCCTCACAGAGTACATGTATAACACCACAACGTAAGTAACTTCCTCACAGAGTACATGTACAACACCACAACGTAAGTAACTTCCTCACAGAGTACACGGACAACACCACAACGTAAGTGACTTCCTCACAGAGTACATGTACTACACTACAACTTAAGTAACTTCCTCACAGAGTACATGTACACACACAACGTAAGTAACTTCCTACAAGAGTACACGTACAACACCACAACGTAAGTAACTTCCTCACAGAGTACATGTATAACACCACAACGTTAGTAACTTCCTCACAGAGTACATGTACAACACCACAACGTAAGTAACTTCCTCACAGAGTACACGTACAACACTACAACGTAAGTAACTTCCTCACAGAGTACATGTACTACACTACAACTTAAGTAACTTCCTCACAGAGTACATGTACTACACTACAACTTAAGTAACTTCCTCACAGAGTACATGTACAACACCACAACGTAAGTAACTTCCTCGGAGAGTACATGTACAACACCACAACGTAAGTAACTTCCTCGGAGAGTACATGTACAACACTACAACGTAAGTAACTTCCTCACAGAGTACACGTACAACACCACAACGTAAGTAACTTCCTCACAGAGTACATGTATAATACCACAACGTAAGTAACTTCCTCACATAGTATATGTACAACACCACAACGTAAGTAACTTCCTCACAGAGTACATGTACAACACCACAACGTAAGTAACTTCCTCACAGAGTACATGTACTACACTACAACTTAAGTAACTTCCTCACTGAGTACATGTACAACACCACAACGTAAGTAACTTCCTCACAGAGTACATGTACAACACCACAACGTAAGTAACTTCCTCACAGAGTACACGGACAACACCACAACGTAAGTAACTTCCTCACAGAGTACATGTACTACACTACAACTTAAGTAACTTCCTCACAGAGTACATGTACAACACCACAACGTAAGTAACTTCCTCACATAGTACATGTACAACACCACAACGTAAGTAACTTCCTCACAGAGTACACGGACAACACCACAACGTAAGTAACTTCCTCACAGAGTACATGTACTACACTACAACTTAAGTAACTTCCTCACAGAGTACATGTACAACACCACAACGTAAGTAACTTCCTCACAGAATACACGTACATCACCACAACGTAAGTAACTTCCTCACAGAGTACAAGTATAACACCACAACGTAAGTAACTTCCTCACAGAGTACATGTACAACACCACAACGTAAATAACTTCCTCACAGAGTACACGTACAACACCACAACGTAAGTAACTTCCTCACAGAGTACATGTACTACACTACAACTTAAGTAACTTCCTCACAGAGTACATGTACAACACCACAACGTAAATAACTTCCTCGGAGAGTACATGTACAACACCACAACGTAAGTAACTTCCTCGAAGACAATATAAATAACGCTGCGTCTGGGTAACACCTGGAACATCACCTTGTGGGCAGTATAAACATCAGGGTCACCTAACATTACCTTGTAGGCAGTATAAACATCAGGGTCATCTAACATCACCTTGCAGTGCAACATTCAAGAATCTTTATTCCGGAAACGTTTCGCCTGACAGTGGCTTCTTCACTCCAGTGCAGGAAAAGGTGGAAGATGGGAGGAGTGTGCGGTAATCAGTCCCTCAGCCTGGAGTCGATGTGTTCAGTCCATCAATCTTGTTTAACCTACTGGCATGATCCACTGCCACTAGTGGGTTTCTCCAGTGGTGACTCCGTCTACCACTGCTCCAGCTCATCTGTCTGCCGTATATAAACTCCGTCTTCCCGAGTATGCTGCACTTTTATCAAGATTGATAGGCTGAGCACATCGACTCCAGGCTGAAGGACTGATTACCTCAAACTCCTCTTCATTTTCCACCTTTCTCTGCACTGGACTGAAGAAGCCACTGACTGGCGAAACGTTTCCAGAATAAAAGCACCCAAATGTTCCACAAGTGTCTCATTTATCAACTCGTCGGTTTTATAAACTACGTTGCAGACATCCACTGCTGCTGGCCGATGGTTCAGGGTTCAAATACAACATCTCCCTCTGCACTGGAGATCACAACTTACAACTGTGTCTTCCAGCACACCTCACCTGCACCCACTGCGTCCTCCAGGTCAGTATTGTCTCCTCAAGTATAAATAAACCACATTCCTTGTCTTTCTTATGTTATTCTGGGTTAATAATCAAGAAGGAAGATTTATGTTACTTTGGAAAGTGGTGATTTTTAGAACGTTAGGTAGATTATGAAGGTTTGAGTTTGAAAAAGATTTGCCTAGTATGGGACAGTAGGCCTGCTGCAGTGTTCCTCCTTTCTTATGTTCTTATGTTTTTAAAATAGGAAAAAGTCAGGGCATGTTTCCTAAAATGGCTGGTAGTATGTTACTGCGGATACAATACTTCAACATTTCTTGAGCAACTGTGAGTGAATTGTCTCTGAATTCACTAATATTATGTCACTGCAGCACACAGTCAAGTGGAGACTGACTATAGTTCCAGTGTGTATAAGGTATAAAATACCGGCAATATGAAAGTTAAGACACATGTGCAACATCTGGATATCGTTCTTGTAGACGTTTCGCCATCCAGTGGCTTTATCAATACAGATTCTAGGACATAATTAGAAGACAGTAGAACTATATACAAAAGATGAGGTAATCAGTCCCTCAGCCTTGGAGTTAGTGTTCACAGCATCGTGGTGGAGGAGAGTCTGGAGCAAAGGCAAGAAGACTGGCGGTTATATAGGCGTTAGTGGATAAGGACGTGCAGCAGACGAGGGCATAGTTCCCTGACAGGTACCTTCTCTGATAGGTACCATTCTCTGACCCACGCTCGCCTTAGCTTTTGGGTTAAGACAAGGCTCAGTTCTACACTCCTCTCTAGCGCTAAACTTCGCCTGTCCCTTCTTCCCCGCTCACCCCACCGGAGTCCCAACAGAAGAGCCTGAATTTCTCTTCTCAATATCTGTCCCACGATCGCCTTCGCTGCTGGGTTAAGCCCAGGCTCTATTTCTACGACTAAGAACACTCCTCTCCAGCGCTATTCTTCGTCTGTCCCGTCTTGCCCACTCATCCCATTTGGGATCTTAGCTGAACTTGTTCGTTCGTTCGTTCGCCTTTGCTCCAGACTCTCCTCCACCACGATGCTGTGAACACTAACTCCAAGGCTGAGGGACTGATTACCTCATCTTTTGTATATAGTTCTACTGTCTTCTAATTATGTCCTAGAATCTGTATTGATAAAGCCACTGGATGGCGAAACGTCTACAAGAACGATATCCAGATGTTGCACATGTGTCTAAACTTTCACATTCAGTTCCAGTGTGGCTGTGTTGATGGTCCAAGTCTGACCGAAACGTCGTCTTAAGCTCCTCTCTCCTATGTGCGGGTTATTTGTGTATTATCCTCGTGGCTAAGTTTGTATTTAGTGCAGACTCTCAGAGGAACCTGCATCCCAGCCCAGCTCAGTCAGTGGTGACTTCCTATAATCTGCTGATATGCTTTTGGATATGACGTAATGTTTTTTTCTTGCATGATAGAATGATGATAGATGGACTGACTAGTGTCAGTCTCTCCCTACATCAGGTTAATGAAATTCAGGTCAAGTTCTTTAAGTATTGTTATGCAAAGTTTTAGAAAACCTGCAAGCTGAAGAATGAGACACTTGTGCAGTGGTTTCTGTTCAGTCCATAAATCTCAATGGTCTGAACACATCGACTCCAGGCTGAGGGACTGATTACCTCAAACTCCTCCTCATCGTTCACCGTTCTTCTCTATATTGTATTGAAGAAGCCACTGACTGGTGAAACGTTTCCTCGATATAGATTCCCAAATGTTGCACAAGTGTCTTATTCTTCATCTCAAACTGTTAGATGACAGCTCAGAGTTTTAACTTACTTCTTCCTTGAGGGCAAACACCTTACCTAGTTCACTAAATCTATTGCACATGTAAAGGCCAATGTGATAAGGAATCCCCAAGGTGTTCTCTGACTCCGCTGTTTGCGGTTCTACCATACTTGTGTCTGGCTTCTGACAAGAGTAGCGGCGGTAGTCAAAATATTACGGAGGCAAACAGTGGGTCTTTCGTAAATTAGCATCATGCATAGACGATAGCGAATTACTTAAAATTAAGGTATTAGTAAAAGTCACGTATGTACTAATCAAGACATATTAAGGAAACATTTCGCTACCAGTGGCTTCTGAGAAAACCATTCGTGGCGAAACATTTCTTTTACCAACAACTTGTGGGTAGTTGTGCAAGAAAGGTATAAAATACCGACAATATGAAAGTTAAGACACATGTGCAACATCTGGATATCTTTATTGTAGTAGACGTTTCGCCATCCAGTGGCTTTATCAATACAGATTCTAGGACATAATAGGAAGACAGTAGAACTATATACAAAAGATGAGGTAATCAGTCCCTCGGCCTTGGAGTTAGTGTTCACAGCATCGTGGTGGAGGAGAATCTGGAGCAAAGACAAGAAGACTGGCGGTTTATATAGGCGTCAGTGGATAGGGACGGGCAGCAGACGAGGGCAAAGTCACTGGTAGGCGGGATTCCCCAGTGGAAGTAGGTCCTTCCCAAAGAGATGGGTTAGTTGCAGCAGCTGTGAAGGTCTTGTAGATGTCCTCTGAACCAAGATTCCATGATGTTGCAGTGTCTGACAAGTTGTGCAAGAAAGGTATAAAATACCGACAATATGAAAGTTAAGACACATGTGCAACATCTGGATCTGTGGGTATATATTTTGGTAGAATTACCGACAATATGTAAAGTAAAAGGACACAAGTGTAACTAATGTGACACTTTATTGTGGCAATAAAATGCCACATAAAGTGTCACAATAAAGTGTCACATTAGTTACACATGTGTCCTTTTACTTTACATACAAATTGTGGGTAGCGCAGTACCAATTAAGCTTTAGATATATGGACACATGTGAGTACAACAAACAGTTCAGTTTGAAGGGTGGAAACCCAACTGATGATGCATGCTTCAGCCGCTATATACGATCCATGACTAAGGCATCAGTATAACTTAAGGCATCGTGCTTAGCTTTAAGACAAAGGTTTAATTTTGATCTAATAAAGTTCTTTGGGAAAGATTTGAGGGATACTGATATAGATATAAGTTTTCTTGGTTCAGGGAAGTACCGCTGTTCTGTTTCTCGGCATCCATTATGTATTAATAGATCGCGTTTTTTTTTTTTTTTTTTTTTGACTCGGAGGTCCGTTCCAGTTTTCATGATCCAAATGTAGGAGCGCTCACCTGTAGTGAATAAATTTTGGAGGACTTCTGTGCTAGGGTTTGAATGGATTTGCCTGAACATATTAACTAACACATATTAACAATGCACTTCTCCCAGTGACTCCATCTCAGATGCTGGAGAAATCCAGTGCTTTCTGCATGTTTAGGATTCTAGAAGCACATGAACATCCTAGGATGATCCTCATCGCTTAATTACACAATTTGTCAAACCCATCACATTTTCTGTTTGACAGAAGAGTAGCTCATATGTCAGTCACCTAGTGACTAATATAAACAAAAAATAAACATCATTTTTGCTATTCTCACAATATCACTACAACTGGAGTGCAATCCTGACACAGTTCTAAGTATTCTCAGCCTCTGTATTGGCGATAGAGTTTGGTTACAACAAGTCCAACTAGAGTTAGTTTAGTTGTGGCTCCTGAGTGGCTAGTTTGTTGTGCAGCCGCAGCTCATCCTGTGAGTGGTAGTGCAAGATAAACATGATTACAGAGGTTAAAGAATAAGAAGACACAACACCGTGACTGGAACAATACACAAATAATCCGCTTTTAAGAGACTGAAACTTATGACAACGTTTTGGTCTGACCTGGAACGAATGGTTCAAGTCGGACAGAAACGTAGTTGTAAGTTCCATTCTTCCATGTACGGGTTATTTGTATATTACAGAGGTCACAGTGGGTCTTAGTCAGACTCTACTAGACAGTGTTATATCACTCGAAAGAAATATTAGTCATTTCATATTTTACAATGACTTCATATAGTTGATGTACAACTAGAAGGATCTTAAATCCGAATCCCTCAGAGTCAGCTAATAGTAACTTTAGCAAAACAATAAAATGGCTACTGAAAGACCAAGATGAACTATTTAAAAAATTCATGACCACTAATCCATCTATACCATATATGTATAATAAATATACACAAACCAGGAGCACCTGCATTGCGAGACTAAAAGTAGTGCAGAAGTATGGTGTCCAATTTTTCTTTCGCCATGCTTTTGTTTTTCACTAAATACATGTGTGAGGATGCCCTCAAAATCCTATTACTAAGAACAAGTTAAGGCTCAGGCGATTTTGTATACTCAGTGGTAAAATCAGTATGGTGGTAATGTCTTATATGTGAGATTGTTAGACTGGTCCCTGGTGCTTCTTATTACATAGACTAACCGAGACCCATCATGATACTGGATCCTGCGGACTTCGCCGCTATCGATGAGGTCGCCTGCTAAATATCTTTGGTTTTCTCAGCCGAAATAATCAACCGTAGGTCCTGACACGAGTCTAATACATGACTAAGGATGTGTTGGGTGATGGAGAATCCGGTGGTGTGAACTGTAACATCAGCAAAACAAATAAAATAATTACTGGTCTTTACCATTGTATTTAGCATAACATTAATTAGATACTGAAAAAGGATAAAGTGAGGATACCTCTGTGGAGAACTTACCTCGAACAGGATGGGAACAAGGGAGGAGTCACAACATCCCTTACTCCCTCCTATTGGACGTAATTTCTCCACAACCTCCCTATTTCAGAAATATTTAGTTACACTTCCATGCCTTTAAAACAAGAAGAAGACTTTCTTTTGGACAGGTGGAGGAACCATCCGTCTATAGCCATTCTGACAAGTTCACTAATGATTACATGTTAGAGTTGTCAGTGTCATGGGAGAGAAAGATGTTTATGTAATAGTGTACACTCTTTCCTTGCATGAAACCATGTAGCCGGGCGTGGACAGAAAGCATTGGATTCAATTCATAAGACGATTTAGGACCATCCTCTCAAGCGTTTTACATAAGCAAATAGTTAGAGATATTGTGTAGTACCTGAGAGAGAACAAAGGTGACTTAATAACAATCAGACTTATCATGTTGAAGTGGAGGTACGTGGCTGGCAACAACTGGGGTGTGTGTGATGATGGTACTGGTGCTCTGGGTTGTGGACCTCAGGAAGAGTTCCGTGCCTGCGCTGACCTGGCCATCCTTCCTCTCAACCCAAGGTTAGTGTCCTGCTTCACACCGTCCTGCCATACCAGGCTCAGTAAGGCAGGGAATTTTTTGTACATTAACATCAGGATTACTTGAATACCTAAAATAATTATTAAAACAAACTCTCAATGAATATACAGAGAGATAGACACTCACCCCTCTTAGCACGTGCGTGCACACACCACACACACACACACACACACACACACACACACACACACACACACACCCCACACACACACACACACACACACACACACACACACACACACACAGACTGGACACCTGGTCCAGCAAATGGCTTCTCGAATTTAATCCTGCCAAATGCAAAGTCATGAAGATAGGGGAAGGGCACAGAAGACCACAGACAGAGTATAGGCTAGATGGCCAAAGACTGCAAACCTCACTCAAGGAGAAAGATCTTGGGGTGAGTATAACACCGAGCATGTCTCCGGAAGCACACATCAATCAGATAACTGCTGCAGCATATGGGCGCCTGGCAAACATGAGAACAGCATTCCGATACCTTAGTAAGGAATCATTCAAGACACTGTACACCGTGTATGTCAGGCCCATACTGGAGTATGCAGCACCTGTTTGGAACCCGCACTTGATAAAGCACGTCAAGAAACTAGAGAAAGTACAAAGGTTTGCGACAAGGTTAGTTCCGGAGCTAAGGGAAATGTCCTATGAAGAAAGATTAAGGGAAATCGGCCTGACGACACTGGAGGACAGGGGTTGGAGAGTTGAAGGAGGAGGTTTTGCTTCTCCAGGAGGAGATTAGGAGGCTGAAGGTCCACCTCAATGGGTCTGGGAGAGAGTGTGAGGTGGCTGGAGTTGTGGGGAATGAGGCTTCTAGCAGCGAGGTGCAGTCTGTCTCTCGCTGTGAGGAGGCTGTAGTTGGGGTGGCAGCAACGGCTACCAGCAGTGAGGTGCAGCCCAGCACCTGCTACAAGTGGCGAGTAGTTCACAGTAATGGAAGGCGCATCAGAGTAAGGAAAGTTAAGAGTGAAGATCTGAAGGTAGGAAATCGCTTCTCTGTTCTTCAGGATGAATGTACTTCAGTGGCCAGTGAAGGTAAGGGTACTACTGCCCTGCTAATGGAGGTAAGCGCATTCTTGTGGTTGGTGACTCTCAGGTAAGATACATTGACCGTGCTTTTTGTAATAGGAATAAAAAGATGAGAGATAGAGTGTGCTTCCCTGGAGCTGGTGTTGGGGACATTGTCAACAGGCTGGATAATATCATGTCAGGTAATGGGAGCAAGCCCATTATCTGTCTCAGTGTGGTGGAAATGATATTTTGGGGAAAGGGTAGGAGAGAAGAGCTGCTAGATAAGTACAGGTCAGCTATAGATCTCATTAAGTCTAAGGGAGGGATCCCAATCATATGTAGCATCTTGCCTAGAAGGGGAGTAGGAAATGAATGGTTGTCTAGGGCAATTGGTGTAAATTGCTGGCTAGACAGATACTAAAAGGAACATGCAATCCATTCATTGCAACTGGAACAACTTTTATGGCAAACGATATTATGAAGGGAGGGGGTACATCTCTCGGGGGCTGGGTGGTGCACTTGCAGACTCGATTGAAAAGGGCCATTGGTGAAACCCTATTTTTTTTTAAAACTGAGGGAAGATAGAGGTATGGGGGTGTTGGAAAAAAAGCAGGTTGCAACATTGGGGTTGGAAACAGTAAATTATAAAAGGTTCGCTGAAGTTATAAAAAAAGACAAAGATCGGGTACAAAAAAAGGGGACAGCAGAGGGCAGCAAGGGACTAGCCCCCTTAAAGGGTTTTACAACTAAAGCAGGAGTGAAAGAAAAAGATAATGAGCTAAGATTAATTGCAATGCAGGAGACATAGATATTTTTGGGCTATAACAAGACCGGGCTCAATCTAAAGATAAGAGAGGGCCCTCTAATGCACATAAAAGGTATAAATTATTCCAACTGACAGGGTCAACGGGAAAGGGTGGTGAGTACGATTATGTCAGAGACAATTTAAATTGTTTTTTTTAGAAAGAATTTAAATTTAAAACGTCAGCCACTGATCTGTTTGGGTTCAGTTCTCGAGGGCCGAGAAAAACAAATTTTGGGTGATTTTCAGGGCCCCAAAATTTTATAGGGAGTGCAGTAAACTTCATGGGACGAAAATTGTAAGGCATTACAACAAAAAGTTGTGCTAAGGAGATTTTAACATAGCAGATTGATGGAGCAATTTGACAGGAAATTTGATAGGTGACTTTCTTGATACGATCCAGGATTGTTTTTTTAAAACAGTTTGTGACAGAGCCAACTAGGGGAAATAACCTCCTTGACTTGGTTCTTGCCAGTAGGGAAACACTAATTAATAATCTTGAGGTTAATGATGGCTTGGGGAAAGTGATCACAAATCACTCAGTTTTAATATATCATGGAATTCCCTAATAATGGCAATCAAGTCTCCGTCCCTGACTTTCGTTGGTGATTTCATGGGAAATGAAAAATTACTTAGGTGGGCTGAACTGGAATGACCTGACTAAGGGTCAGGTAGGTGGTGATGGTTTGCCGATATGATGCTTTCCAGGGCATATTCTAGTCCCTCAGTCAAATTATTTTCCCAAAATGGGGGAAATCAGATCAAACAAAATGACCCTTTAAATGGATGAACAATGATTAAAATATCTGTTTGGTCAAAAGAGAGGCTATTAGGCAAATCAAAAGAGGAGAGGGGCAATTTTGAGAAATCGATATATTCAGTTAAAGAGGAGAAATAAAAAGGGAATTGAAAAGCAAAAAGAGATTATGGGGTTTTAAAGTTGCAAGAAATCGAAGACTAACCCAAAAGGATTCTTTCAGGTATACGAAGTAAGATCAGGGACAAGATAGGCCCACTCAAAGTTCCTCGGGTCAGCTCACTGACAGTGATAAGGAAATGGTAGAATTTTTAACACATACTTCCTCTCAGTTTTTACACAGGAGGATACCAGCGATATTCCAGTAATGATAAATTATGTAGAACAGGACGATAATAAACTGTGCACTATTAGGGTCACAAGTGACATGGTCCTTAGGCAAATAGATAAATTAAAACTAACAAATCCCCAGGCCCTGTGAACTGTATGCAAGGGTTCTAAAGGAATGTAAAGAGGAGCTTAGCACACCTTTGGCTAATCTTTTCAACATATCACTACAAATTTGGGCATGGTGCCAGATAAGTGGAAAATGGCAAATGTGATACCTATTTTCAAAACAGGTTGACAGGTCCTTAGCTTCGAACTATAGACCAATAAGCCAAACCCTCCATAGTGGGAAAATTTATGGAATCAATAATTGCCGAGGCAGTTCGTAGCCACCTTGAAAAGCATAAATTATCAACGAATCTCAGCATGGTTTTTACAAAGGGGCGTTCCTGCCTTACGAATTTATTAACTTTTTTCACTAAGGTATTTGAGGGGGGTAGATCATGGTAATGAATATGATATTGTGTATATGGACTTCAGGGAAGGCTTTTGACAGGGTCCCACATCAGAGACTATTGAGGAAAATTAAAGCACATGGAATAGGAGGAGAAATTTTTTCCTGGATAGAGGCATGGTTGACAAATAGGCAGCAGAGAGTTTGCATAAATGGGGAGAAATCAGAGTGGGGAAGTGTACGAGCGGTGTTCCACAGGGGGTCAGTGTTGGGCCCCTGTGTTCACAATCTAATAAACGACATAGATGAGGGCAAAAAAAGAGCGACATCGGCAAGTTTGCCCATGACACCAAAATAGGCCGTCGATTTATTTGCGGGACATTCGAGCACTCCCGGAAGATTTGAATAGACTGATGCGTGGTCGGAGAAATGGCAGATGCAGTTTAATTTTAGACAAATGCAAAGTTCTAAATGTTGGGGCAGGACAATAATCATGCCACATATAAACTAATAATGTAGATCTTAATATTACGGATTTCCGAAAAGATTTAGGAGTTCTGGTTAGCAGTAATCTGAAACCAAAGACAACAGTGCATAAGTGTTCGCAATAAAGCTAATAGAATCCTTGGCTTCATATCAAGAAGCATAAATAATAGGAGTCCTCAGGTTGTTCTTCAACTTATACATCCTTGGTTAGGCCTCATTTTGATTATGCTGCACAGTTTTGGTCACCTTATTACAGAAAAGGATATAAATTCTCTGGAAAATGTACAAAGGAGGATGACAAAGTTGATCCAAGTATCGAAACCTTCCTATGAGGATAGACTAAGGGCCCTGAATCTGCACTCTCTAGAAAAGACGTGAATTAGGGGGGATTGATTGAGGTGTATAAATGGAAGACAGGAATAAATAAAGGGGATGTAAATAGTGTGCTGAAAATATCTAGCCCAGACAGGACTCGCAGCAATGGTTTTAGTTGGAAAATTCAGATTCAGGAAGGATATAGGAAAGTACTGGGTTTGGGAATGAGTTTTGGATTTGGGGCAAACTCCCAAGTACCGTTATAGAGGCCCGAACGTTGTGTAGTTTAAAAATAGGTTGGATAATAAGAGTGGAGTGGGGTGGGTTTTGGGGTTTGACCGATAGTTGTGCTCCGGTCGGTTGCCGTGTTCCCCCTTAAGTCAAAGTGACCTGACCCGAAAGGGTTTGGGGGCATTTTGGGTTAAGCCCGGGAGGAGACTTTGGACCTCCTGCATGGGCCGTAGGCCTTCTGCAGTGTTCCAAAGGTAGGCAAAAGCAGCGGTTCAACACCTCCAGTAGCAGTGCACCAGTAGCACAAGCAGCAGGTTCAACCCCCCAGTAGCAGGCCCCGTGCACAAGCGCGGTTAAAACCCCTCCAGTAGCAGGGGCACAGACACAAGCAGCAGGTTAAACCCTCCAGTAGCGGCAGCAGTAGCACAAGCAGCAGGTTCAACCTCCGTAGCAGGCCCCATTTTAGCAAAAGCAGCAGGTTAACCCCTCCAGTGAGTACCAGTAGCACAAGCACAGGTTCAACACCCCCATAGCAGTGCACATAGCACAAGCAGCAGGTTCAAACCCCCGTCAGGGGCCCGTAGCCAAGCAGATTTTTTCAACCCCTCCAGTAGAGTGCACCAGTGCACAAACAGCAGGTTCAAACCTCCAGTAGCAGTGCACCAGTAGCACAAGCAGCGGGTTTTTAACAACCCAGTAAGTGCCCCAGTAGCACAAGTAGCAGGTTTTCAACCCTCCAGTGCATTTTCACCATTGACAACAGGGGTTAAAACCCCCCCGTGCAGTAAACCAGTCCCAAAAGCGGGGTTTCAAACCTCCAGTAGCGTGCCCGTAGCCAACAGCAGGTTCAACACCTCAGTAGCAACATTAAGAACAGCAGCAGCCCCGCTGGCGTGTATGGGCGTTGTGTCTAAAAAGTATAGCCTGCCCTGGATGTGTGCGTTTGTGAGAAAAATTGTGACCAAAAACCTTCTCTTCCTCAAGTTCATTATAACTCTAACATCCCACAGTTCTTCGTCCCCCCTTTCTCCTTTTTCTTTTCCGGTACCTTTCATTTCCCCCCCTTTCTTTTACTTCCTTCCTCCTTTTACATCAACATAATAAACAATTGCAGCACTGCCAGTTAAAACCCACACTTCGATTTATACAAGATAACTGGTGTGGGGAGACGGCCCTGCCTTTTGTATGGACCGGTAGGTCTATTCTTCCCCCTGTATTACGAAAATATTAAATAATGGTTAAAATTAAAACCATAATTTTTAAAGGGGTAGACCAGTAAGTCAGCTAAGGGTCCGTCAATGACCAAAAGCTCCAGCTGCGGGTCTATTGACTGGGACCCGCGTCGGGAAACGCTTGTTCTCTTTCCTGACAAACCTTACCAAATCTAACCTCCTGATAACGATTGCTAGCAGTTTGCTATTGATGGGGGTTTTTTGGATATGGTTTGCCTCAACTTAGGCTTCTAACTGGCTGTTTTTAAAACGAGATGGAGTTAAAGGGGCCCTATTCCAATTACATTTTTCTCGTTGGAGTTCCGTATTTAAATCAGGAGAGAACCAAAGAAGAAAAGTCAAGAAGCTGTCTATCGCCCGCAAGATGCATTTTATTGGCCCAGACTGCAAGAAGCAGATAAGTCAAGAAGTTTGTCTATCAAAGCAAGATACATTCTTGTCTGGGGGCCAGCGGAAAAAGCGTCAATAGCTCCAGGAATACAAAAAAAAAGGGAAAGGAAACATTCAAGTGCGGAAAGAGTGAGAGAACAGTAAGATACAGTGACAGTACAGTGACGTACCACTACACAAATTTTGAAACAGTGTCCTGCCGAGTGATAGTATAGTGAGACATGGTAACAGAGCAGTGACATGGTAATAGAGCAGTGACATGGTAACAGAGCAGTGACATGGTAACAGACAGTGACTTGGTAACGGCAGGACTGGAAACAGAGCAGTGACGGTAAAGGCAGTGACTTGGAAAAACAGGCAGTGACATGGTAACAAAGCAGTGACATGGTAACAGAGCAGTGACATGGTAACAGAGCAGTGACATGGTAACAGAGCAGTGACATGGTAACAGAGCAGTGACATGGTAACAGAGCAGTGACATGGGTGTGTGTACTACTACATACACTCCTGTCAGTCCTTACAATAACCGCATGTTCTCCAGTAAAATGTCATGTCCTTAAATAACCTTCATTTCCACAGAAACACTGTCTTTCCCTCACAATACACTGTCATTCCTACAATAACACTGCTGTCCTTACAATAACACGTCATGTTTCTCAAGAAAACACTGTCAGTCCCAAAATAACCGTCATGCCCTCCAAAAACACTGTCATGCCTTACAAAACCTGTCAGTTTCCATTAACACTGTATGCCCTCACATAACTTTCAGTCCTCAAAACACTGTCATGTCCTTACAAAAAACACTGTCATTTTTCCCCAAATAAACTGTTTTGTCCTCAATTAAACCTGTCATGTCCTTACAATAACACTGTCTTTTCCCAATAACACTGTCAGTCCTTACAATAACACTTATGTTCTCACAGTAAAACACTGTCTGCCCTTTAAAATAACATGTTATTCCTCACAATAACATGTTAGTCCTCACAATAAACTGTATGTCCTCACAATAACACTGTTTTGCCCTCCATAACACTGTCATGTTTCAACAATAACATGTCATGTCCTTAAAATTTAACACTGCCATGTCCTCACAAAAACACTGTTATGCCCTTTAAAAACACGTATGTCCTCACAATAACATGTTTGCCTCACAATAACACTGTCATGCCCTCACAATAACACTGTCACCCTCCAATAACCTGTCATGTTTACAAACACGTCATGTCCTTAAAATAACACGTCATGTCCTCACAATAACACGTTGTTCCTCACTAACATGTCATGTCCCCCAAAAAACACTTTTTGTCCTCACAAAAACAGTTTTTGCCCCTAAAATTAACACTGTCATGTCCTAAATAACACTGTCTTGTCCCACAATAACATGTTATGCCCTACAATAACACGTCTGTCCTCACAATAACATGTCTGTCCTCCATAACACTGTATGTCCTCACAATAACACTGTCATGTTCTCACAATAAACATGTCATGCCCTCCATAAATGTTTTTCCTTACAATAACCTGTCATGTCCTCACAATAACATGTTATGTCCTCACAAAAACATGTCTGTCTCACTAAAAACCTGTCTGTTTCACAATAACATGTCATGTTTTACAAAAACACTGTCATTTCCTCACAATAACACTGTTGTGTCCTCAAAAAACACTGTCTGTCCTCACAATAACACTGTCTGTCCTCCAAAAACACTGCCATGTCCTCACAAAAACACTGTCCTGCCCTCACAATAACCGTCATGTCCTCAAATAACACGTTTTTTCCCTCACAAAAACCTTTTATGCCCTACAATAACACTGTCTGTCCCCAAAAAACACTGTCATGTCCTCACAAAAACCCCTGCATGTCCTTACAAAAACCCCTGTCATGTCCTTAAAATAACACGTATGCCCTCACAATAACACTGCCATGTCCCTTACAATAACACTCCATGCCTTCAAAAAACACTGTCTGCCCTCACAAAAAAACCTTCTTGTCCTTACAATAAAACTGCCATTCCTTAAAATAACATGTCATGTCCTCAAAATAACCTGTCATGCCCTTACAATAACACTGTCATGCCCTCAAAATAAAAATGTCATGTCCTCACAAAAACCTGCCTTCCTCAAAAAAAAACGTTATTTCCTCACATAACACTGTCATGTCTCACAATAACATGTTATTTTCCTCAAAATAACACTGTCATGTCCTCACAATAACACTGTCATGTCCTCACAATAACACTGTTATGTCCTCACAATAACACTGTCATGTCCTCACAATAACACTGTCATGTCCTCACAATAACACTGTCATGTCCTCACAATAACACTGTCATGTCCTCACAATAACACTGTCATGTCCTCACAATAACACTGTCATGTCCTCACAATAACACTGTTGTGTCAGCATACTCTACTGAGCTGTGTTAAAATAATAATTACACTAAATGGTCACGTCTGGAGGCACCTTAATCATGTTAAACTTAACCTTCAGTTAACATCAAGTACGTTAAATTACTGTATTAAATGTTGCCTAATGTTGTGCAAAATAATCGTACCCTTGAAACATAATTAGATTAACATGTAATTCATGTCTCGCATTAATCACCTTTCATACATCATATGTAATCGATTTTCTTTCTACTTTTTTAATGTATGCATTACGAGTTACGTTAATTTATTCCTATATAAATGTATTTTTTTTAAATAAATAATTGTACAAGATTTATTATGTTTTATTAGTTTTGTGTTTTATTTTGAGTTTGTACTGAACGTTGTGTGTAAGTTGAGGCTGTCATGTGTACTGGTGAATGTTGTGTGTAAGTTGAGGCTGTCATGTGTCTGGTGAATGCTTTTGGGAAGTTGAGGGGTCTTTTGGGAATGGGGAATGTTGTGTGAATTTTGGGCTGTCTGTGTACTGGTGAATGTTGTGGGGTAAATTGAGGGGCGTCATGTGTCTGGTGAATGTTGTGTGTAATTGAGGCTGTCATGGGTACGGGATGTTTTGTGTAAGTTGAGGCTGCATAACTGGTGAATGTTGTGTGTAAGTTGAGGCTGTCATTTTACTGGGAAAGTTGTGTGTAAGTTAGGCTGTCTGGTACTAGTGAAATTTTTGTGTAAGTTGAGGCTGTCAGATAGGGAATGTTGTGTGTAAGTTGGGCTTCATGGTCTGGTGAATGTTTGTGTAAGTTTAGATGTCACGTGTACTGGTGAATGTTGTGTGTAAGTTGAGGCTGTCAGTGACTGGTGAATGTTGGGGTAAGTTGATGTCATGAGTAGGGGAAGTTGGTGTAAGTTGAGGCTGTCATGTGTTTTGGTGAATGTTGTTTTGTAAATTGAGGGGTGTCATGTTACTGGTGAATGTTGTGGAAAGTTTTAGGGTGTTTGTGTACTGGGGAATGTTTTTGTGTAATTTGAGGCTGTCATGTGTACTGGTGAATGTTGTTGTAAGTTGAGGCTGTCTGTGTACTGGTGAAAGTTGTGTGTAAGTTTAGACTTTTCTGTGTACTGGTGAATGTTTTGTGTAAGTTGAGGCTGTCATGTGTACTGGTGAATGTTGTGTGTAAGTTGAGGCTGTCATGTGTACTGGTGAATGTTGTGTGTAAGTTGAGGCTGTCATCTGTACTGGTGAAGTTGTGTGTTAGTTGAGGTGTCAGTTACTGGGAATGTTTTGTGTAAGTTGGGCTGTATTTGTTGGTGAATGTTGTGTGTAAGTTGGGCTGTCATGTTCTGGTGAATGTTGTTGTAAGTTGAGGCTGTCATGTGTTTGGTGAATGTTTTGTGTAATTCAGGTGTATGTTATGGTGAAGTTGTGTGTAAGTTGAGGTGTAGTTACGGGTGAATGTTGTGTGAAGTTGAGGGTGTCATGTGTCTGGTGAATGTTGTGGTAAATTGAGGCTTCAGTGTACTGGTGAATGTTGTGTGTAAGTTTAGGCTATCAGTGTACTGGGGAATGTTGTGTGTAAGTTTTGGGGTATTGTACTGGTGAATGTTTGTTTTAAATTGAGGCTGTCTGTGTACTGGGGAATGTTGTGTGTAAGTTAGGGTGTCATGTGTCTGGGGAATGTTGTGTGTAAGTTTAGGCTTCAGTGTACTGGTGAAGGTGTGTAAGTTGAGGCTATCATGTGTATGGTGAAAGTTGTGTGTAAAATTAGGCTGTCTGGTACTGGGAATTTGTTGGGGAAATTTAGGGTCTGTGTACTGGGAAAGTTGGTATAAGTTGGGTTGTCTAAATATGGTGAATGTTGTGTGTAATTTTAGGTTGTCTGTGTACTGGTAATGTTGTGTTAAGTTTAGGCTGTCATGAGTATGGTGAATGTTGTGTGTAAGTTTGGGGTTTTCATGAGTACTGGTGAATGTTGTGTGTAAGTTGAGGGTGTCAGTGTATGGGAATGTTGTGTGTAATTTAGGATGTCATGGTACTGGTGATGTTTTGGTTTTTAAGTTTTGGTGTCATGTGATGGTGTGTTTGTGTGTAAGTTGGGCTGTAAGTGTACTGGTGAAGTTTTTGTGTAAGTTGAGGGTGTCAAGTGTATGGTGAATGTTGTGTGTAAGTTGGGGTCACGTGTAGGTGAAAGTTGTGTGTAAGTTGAGGCGTCAAGTGTACGGTGAATGTTGTGTGTAAGTTGAGGGTGTCACTGTTTGGTAATGTTGTGGTAAGTTGAGGCTGTAAGTGACTGGTGAATGTTGGTGTAAGTTGGGTGTCAAGTGTACTGGTGAAGTTGTGTGTAAGTTGGGCTGTCACGGTTGGGGAATGTTTTGTGTAAATTGAGGTTCAAGTGTACTGGGAATGTTGTGTGTAATTGAGGCTGTCCGTGTACTGGTGAAAAGTTGTGTTAAATTGGGCTGCAAGTGTAGGTGAATGTTGTTGTAAGTTGAGGCTGTATGGGGCTGGTGAATGTTTGTGTAAGTGGGGTGTCTGGGTTTCTGGTGAATTTTGTGGTAAGTTGAGGCTTCAGAGTACTGGGAATGTTGTGTGTAAGTGGGCTGTCTGTGTACTGTGAATGTTGTGTGTAAATTGGGATGTCAGTGTACTGGTGAAATGTTGTGTGTAAGTTGAGGCTGTCATGGTTTTGGTGAATG